AACTACGACTACGACTACGACTACGCCTACCAGATTCAGCACGCATGTCTTTGAACGTGTATTGTCAAGAAAAGACCACACCATTACAATTCACCGCTATATTTGTAACTTTCGGAATATTATATCTGCTTTTCGCACACGTACCTCTCACAACTTATTGCATGATATCCAGGGGTTTTGGACTCAGAAAAAGCAAGTACGTGGCTACCCCTGGAACCATATCTAGTTATTGGGGACCGATCGACCCCGAACGCACCCGACAGGACCACCCTACCGCCGGTAACGTGTAGTCCAGCATATACATTTTATGTTACTAGTTCTGCCAGTATACTGTGTAGTGCCTAATATAGATATACGAGTGGCTAGCGCATGTGTTGGTAGTGTATTGATACTTGTCTAGTATATGTAGATATATATCAGGGAAGTGCATTTACCTGGATGGATCACGGCTGTTGATCACGGGTTTATTTCTACCGCGATGTCGTGCTACAGCCAGATGCTGTTAGTGCGGCTCATATATTGACTTGATCATGCGCGTATGTGTGCGTGTATGTCGTAGTTTTAAGGATCAATTAGGTTGGACCTACAATTGTATAGTGCATGACTAGTCCGTTACTTTTTAACTCTTTATATATATATAAAATATATGTGTTGTTCTTGTGTATCATTGTTTGGTCTTCATTTAACAGTTATTCGTGCGTTAAAACACCTGTTGTGTTTTTCCTTAGTCTGATCCACCCAGTCAACTCTTCTATGGCGTCGCTTTTTACTTCATGGAGAATATAGACGATGATCTCTACACACCCGACATCAAAGACCTCGTCCGCCTGATCAAATTCGGAGGTATGTGTATCTTAAGAGGTTTATCCATCAGTGTGCATAGTGTTTACATAGTACTTTCTTTGCATGTCAATGTGCAGGTTGGTGATAGCGACAAAGAGTCTAATCAGGTATGTGCGTCTCTACATGTTTGTCAATGAGATTACGTAGTATGTACATGTATAGCATTTTGTTGTCATGCTCACTTATAGTTTAACATCGAAGACTACCAGTCTGATCAAATTGGGAGGTGCGGGGCAACTTGAGACAAAATTTGTTCACAGATCTAAGTTGGCATTACACTACACTTTGATATTGAGAACTCGGTTCGTTTGATTCGATGCTGAGGTTGATACTTATAGCATATTGCATCATGCGCATTGAAAAATCATTTTACATAAAATGTATGACTATATGTATGCTTGTACTCTTTATCCGTATCCGTGTCTCCGTTGAAAGGACCACTGGAGTGAGCAAAGGTTTCGACCCTTGCATGTGTGCCCTATATATATATATATATATATATGCATGTATATATATATATATATGTATATGTATATTATATGTATATACATAT